ACATTGACAGTGATGCATTTATTTTTCCTTTTTTTTAATATTTGTAATATTATATTGTTTATTTTAAATATTGCACTAGTTTTAGTCAAACATGAAATTAGTACAATTACATAATTTATATAAATAGACCTTGTCAAGGTTAGCTAAATATATTAGTTTAAATTCAAAATAAATTAATAAATAGGCTAGCCTAATGATTTGATTAAATATTCACGGGGTTCACCAATGTGAATGTCCAATGTACAAAGGGAACAGAAGCATTTTAGCCATTTGATTTGTGAATTTCATATGCATAATATATATCATCTTTATCATTATAAATAAATTTTGTGTGTACCATGCATATACTAGTAAAACTACAAAACCTAGCCTCCTATATGAGATGAAAAAAACAAGACTACCATGCAACGTGTCTTCTCTAGACCTTTCACCAGATTAGCCCTCATCTTGAAAATAGTTACATTGCTTCTTGAATTCGTTACATTTGCCTTCTTCTCTCGAATCCTCTCAGAAACTTCTCCTCATGCGTCTTCTTCTCTTTCTGAACTGCAATGGCATTTTCCTTTTCTTTATCGCCCTTCACCTTCTACTCTTTCGTTCATAGTGACAATCAACATCAAAATTAAACAAAAAATAATATAATATGTAAGAAGAAAATAGAGATTGAAATCCAATAACTTCTGCAACAATAAAGGCTACTATTTTTTTAAAGAGTATAACCGATTCAATGGAGAATGACACAACTTTAGCAAGCTCTTTCCTGCTTCCAGAATTACAAATTTAAAAAGCCTCAGCATGTTTGGTAATATCATTACAACCCATCGGAAAGAATCATTACTTTATCAGAGCTGTCAATGCCAAAACATTACAGAGCCTAGTTAACATATGACACCATAAAAAATAAGTAAATTTTATCATCTAAAAATATAACCCTACAACAACATCAGAAAACAACAAAGTAAAATTTTCTTTGCAGGCTAGCAAATACAAACACACAGTTAGAGTCTGAAGATATATATACATGGTTCCAAGCAGCACTCCATCAAGTTAAAAGTTCCACTAACAATAATAACCATAAAATAATTGCAAAAAGAAAAATGATCTGGTCTAATAAATACAAGACACACTTCAATGTAGAGTTTTAAAGATTTTTTAGATGCTATTTTAATTTTAGGTAGAGTGTTTTATTATTTTTATCCTTTTAAAACACAAGATATTGATAATGGTAGATAATAAGTATATAATATGTTATTATTATTTTTTAAACGTTCATATTATACTACGTATTTTAATCATTATATACTCGAAGGTACAAGTGATTCAAGATTGACCAGTGAATCCGATTAACTAAACCTAAATTAATTATATATATTGATTGGATATTTGATTGAGTTGGACAATTCGATAAACATGGCTCAATCCTAGCTAAATCAATATTTATATTTAGATATTATTTTAATTTATAATGCATGTACCTTGTCAAAATAATGTATATAACATATTTTATTTATCGATTTTTTTTTAAAATTTAAAATATATCAATATATTAATAATTAATTCAGTCACTCAACTCAATCCCTGTACCATAAATATTCCATCTGTACCCAAAAAAAAAAATATCTAACTCAATCTAATCACATTAATGTAGGGTTAGGCTTGATAGCAAGGTACAAATCTAACCTAACTTTACCCATATTATATTTCATTATATTTGACTCTTAATTAAGACAAACCTAACTCGAATTATTTATATCTCTAATTATAATAACTAGTTTTTAAAATATTTCTTCTATTAGTTATGAATTTTACTTCAAGATATTGACCGAGATGTGTTTTTTTTTCTTCTTGTTTTTTAATATTTGTATTATCATATTATTAATCTTAAACATTACACTAGTTCTACTCGAACGTGATATTCGTACAATTACATAATATAAATAAACATCTAGAAACTTAAATTCCGAATTTAAATTTGGGGGACAAACCAATATTGGTGGAAGAAAAATGGGTGATATAAAAAGTAAATACCTCTTGCTTGACAGCTTCATTCGCAAGGTGGAAGCTTGATAATCTTTCACAAGGTGCTAAGTGCTAAAACAACATACTAACAAACTTCTTACAAACAAATCGGAGACATTATTTTCTACAACGAGAACAAGTTCTTGCAGCAAGCATTCCCTGTTGAATCATAAAGCTCTGGCCGCAATAAAATAAACCAATTTCGGCTGCAATTGTAAAAATCCAAAAATATTTTATAAGCACAACAAAAGCTTTTTCTTACTGATATACTCGGGAACCCATCTTCTGGCACTGGACGGCGCTATTGTATCATCAATTAAGCTCTTTAAATCTGATGGGCCTCCAATGTGTTTGAGAGAGAGAAAAAAACGGTTCAGTATATAACTTTTGTTTCTTCTCTACTGTTTCTATTGCTACAATTGCCAACAGTCTCTCCACTACATTTTTTTTTTCTTTAAAAGGTGTTGTTTCGAGTTGTATTTTGGATTTTTCATGAAAATTTGCGACCTTTAAATATTGCGGAAGTTCTTAGATATCAGTCTCTAATTTCTTTCTAATTTCCTCACATATTGTCATTTTCTGTTTAAAATTATATTTGGTTTATTGATGTTAATTGCCATTATTAATAAGGCGGGAGAAAAGGCAAAACATGGTTTAAAAAAATGTTTGTGATTTAAAAATAGAACAAAGTGATTTTAACATGCACAAATTTATCATATTGTCTAAACATAAAAACAATAACTTTATTTTTATTTAAATTATTTGAAACTACTCAAAAATTCTTTTATAATTCAACACTCAATTATTAACTTAACAAGATATGATACTTCACGTTGTGATTGCAACCATCTACTCCCTCATCGCCTCTTTCATTTACCTCCTCGGTTTCTTCGGCATCGACTTTGTCCAGTCCTTCATCTCTTGAGCCTCCATCAAGCTTGAGACTTTGACAACATCGTTCCAAACCCTTCCCCACCCTAAACTAACACTTTCGAACCCTTGATTGTCTGCAAGGAAATCAAAGACTATGTGACTTCTGTCATCAATAGTGCCAAGTCGTCGACATGTTAGAGTCAAAGTTGAAGACTATTAACGAGCAACAATGGTGCAACAACGACGAGGCAGTCGTTGGAGGGGATTCGACTACAAGGTGATTTTGTGACAGTACAGTGAATGTTAGTGTACCATACAAATTCTGGTAAGGGTGGCAAGGCTCTTGTTGTTAGATATCAATGGTCAATAACATTGTGAACTCAAATCCATCCAAAAACAACAACCATGCCACTCCCACTAGAATATGCATGTACCACACCAACATTTCACAGCACTGTCCCAAAATCACTTCACAGTCGAACCTCAATCACTTTACAGTCGAACCCCTCCAACAATTGTCCGTCATTTAATGCACCACCACAACTCGTCGATAGCCTCCAACTATGATTCTAACACAGACGACTTGGCACCATAAACGACATCCTCACCCTCCTCAAAGACAATCGAAGGTTCAAGAAGAGTTTGTTTAGGGAGGGAAGAATTAAAAACACTTATTGTCAAGATCCCAAACTTCAATAAAATGCACAAGAGAAGAACTGGACAAAGACAATGTCGAAGAAGTCGAGGAAGCAGGAGACGATGAGGGAAAAGATAGCAACAATCATAACATGCACAATCAAATTTTGTCATGTCAACAATAAAAAATTAAATTACAAAAGTACTTTTAAATGAGTTCAAATAATTTAATAAAAACAAAAATTAAAAAGAATCATTTGTCACTTATCCACCTTTAAATAATGTTAAAATAGTGCATAGAAATCACCCGGAAAATTAATATTTGACAAAGTAAAAAAAAAAAAAAAAAAAAAAAAAAAAAAAA